CCCCCCCCCCGGAATTGCTCCCTCGGGGCCCCTGACTCATCCAGGAAATGGACAATTTCGGAAGGAGATGACCCCTCCCCCAAAATCAACCCCCTGAGGGCCCATGAAGGGAGGGGGGCGTCGTGAGGGACGACCTGGGGGTGTCTGGGGCCGCACGATGAAGGGGGGCCGCTCTAAGGGCTGAGGACCCTGAAGGGAAAGGGGCGGGGAGGGGGCGGGGCGGGGGCGGGGCACCGCCCTCCCCAGGAGCCTTCTGGAAGCCCCGCCCCTTCCTCCCGCAGCCTTGGCTCCTGGGCATGCGCGGCCCCGGGGACTACATTTCCCAGAAGGCTGCGCGCCGGCCCCACTTCCGCTTCCGCCACGTTCCTCCTGTTTGGGCTGCCGCTCTTCCACCAGTTCCGGTGAGTGTGTTCAGGGCCTGTGGGGGGTGTGCGATCCCCAAGCACCCCGGAATCCCGGCGTTCGGAGACTCCTGCTCGCCCCCGGATCGTGGAGCCCTGACCCCCCCCACTCCCCGGGACGGGGAGTCTTCAGGGCGCCCCCGCCTACCCCGGGACCCGAGCGTCCCGAGCCCCTCCCCCTCCTTTGCGCCCTGGGAGCCCTGTGGTACCGCACCCCCCCCCCGCACATTCGCTCCCCCCCTCCCCCCGCGCTCTCCCTATCCTGCCCCTCCCCCCGCTGGAACCCAGGAGCCCCGCGCCCCAACCACCCCAAAGCTCCAGAGCCCCCGGTCCCTTCCCCCACCCCAGCAGACGTCCTGCCCCTACCCCGCCCCCATATCTGGATTGAGGCAGCCCTGCCCCCCCCAACGTGCACCCCCACATGGTGCCTCCCCTCCCCCCAGCCTGGCCCTGACTCAGCCCCCCAAGCTGGTTCTGCGCCCCCCGATTGTCTCTTCCATCCCCTCCAGCACCTGCCAGGAGGCCTTGACGTTTCCCTCCGCAGCCCCTCCCGGCTGCCCCTTCCCCCGGGGTCTCCACTCTCCCCACCCCCACCTCTGAGCCTGTCAGCATCCGGGGCTTCTGTCCCCCTGCCCTCCCTTACTGACCCCTGCTGAGGGTCTGGGGGTGTCGGGCTGGACTCTGGTCCCCCCCTCCCCCGGAGTTTGGGGGCGGGCTGGGGGGTGGGCAAAGAGGGAGCGGATGCCCCCTGCCTACTTCCAAGATTCATTCGTTCTCTGGACTCCAGACCCCACCCGCTTTCCCCCAAGGTTGTCACCCTCGGGGAGCCTTCCCGGGTCGGGGGCTGCTCCCAAGGAAGCCGAGGCCCCACCTGCCTGCTCTGATTCAGGGGGCTGGGACCCCTGGCTGCTCACGTGCGCCTGCTGTAGTCGGCAAGAGGGCATGAAGTGCCTACTGTGTGCACCTGACATAGTGCATGAAGTTCCTACTGTGTGCATCTGACAACGTATATGAAGTGCCTACTGTGTGCATCCACAACCCTGTAGGATGTGCCTACTGTGTGCATTCCCAAAAGTGCATGAAGTGCCTACTGAGCACAGCCTCAAAAGTGTAGGAAGTGCCTACTGTGTGACGGTGTTAGGCTAAGCTCGAGCAATGCCAAAAAGGACAGAAGACTGCCTGGCCTCCTCAGGAGCTCCCGTTCTAACAGGGGACACCTCATGGAAATGGGTGTGTGTGTGTCCGTCTATAGAGAGAGGACCGTATCTCAAGGGAGACAGCATCGATACCTGGGGTGACGGGGAGGGCCCTCCGGGAGGGGGGACCTGAGCTGCATCCTACAGGGAGCCCAGGGGTGGCAGGGAGGGGGCCAGCGTTCTTGCTGCTCTCCCAGGTCACTAGCGGCTCTTCCTTCTTCCCCCCTCTGCAGCCTGTGACTGTCCATCCTCCTCTTGTCTCCCACTTGTACTGCCCGACCCGTCCTTCCCCAGGTCCTCCGCCTGGTCTTCAGTCACACCCAGTAACCCCGTGGCCAGGGCTGTCCCACCCGCTCTGCTCTGGACCCTCTTTTCCCTCTTCTCTTTCACCTGGGGATCTCATCAGCTCCCCCCGATCAGTGGTCATCTCCACGCTGAGGATTCTCGCGTCTCTGCTGACCTCCAATCTCACGTCCCTCATGTGCCTCCTGGACGTCTCCAACAGCCATCTTAAACTCAACACGTCCAAGACTGACCCCAGTGGCTTTCCCCCCAACCCTCCCCTCCTCTAAACTCCCCTATTACCACCACCACCCCCCAGTCCCCCAGGCTCACAGCCCAGGTGTCTGCTGGCTCCTACTCATTTATCTTTGGCTCTTCCCCACCCCCAACGTCCACTCTTGTCCAGGCCCGTTGACTTCACCTCAGCAGCATCTCTCCAATGTCCCCCTTCTCTCCTCTGGCTCAGACCCTCATCACCTCACGTCTGGACCATGGCAGCAGCTGCTGGGAGATCTGCCTGCCTCCAGTCTCTCCCCACTCCAGTCTGTCCTCCATTCGGCTGTCAAAGTGATTTCCTAAAACACAGATCTGACTACGTCACCCCCCCCCCCCACACCCGCACACATACACACTCAACAAACTGCAGTGGCCTGCCCCCAGTTGCCTCCAGGAGCAAATACAGAATCTTATGTTTGGTGTTCAAAGCCCATTACTCTCATCCTTTCCAGTCCTGGTACACCTTACGCTGCCTCGTAATGTAGTTTGGATCCAGTGACCCTGGGCTCCTGGCTGTTCCTCACACAACATCCTCCATCTCCCAACTCCAGGCATTCCTTCTGGCCATCCTCCCTGCCCAGTCTTCCTCCCCATCCCTCCCCCCATGCCTTTCCCCTGCCTGGTTCTTCTCATCCCCCATGCCTGGCTCTCCTCATCCCCCTGCCTGGCTCTCCCCATCCCCCATGCCTGGTTCTACCAATCCCTCATGCCTTTCCCCTGCCTGGCTCTCCTCATCCCCCATGCCATTCCCCATGCCTGGCTCTCCTCATCCCCCATGCCATCCCCCGTGCCTGGCTCTCCCCATCCCCCATGCCATCCCCCTGCCTGGCTCTCCCCATCCCCCTGCCTGGCTCTCCTCTTCATCCTCACACCTCTTGTCTTCAAGTCTCATCTAAAATCTGCTGTCTCTCAGAAGCCTTTCCTTGGGTGCAGCTAGGTGGCGCAGGGGATAGAGCACTGGCCCTGGAGTCAGGAGGACCTGAGTTCAAATCTGGCCTCAGACCAAACACTTGCCGCTTACTAGCTGTGTGACCCTGGGCAAGTCACTTAACCCCAATTGCCTTAAAGAAAAAAAAAGGAAGCCTTTCCTTATCCCCCTTAATTCTAGGGCCCTTCTGTTGCTGATATCCAGGGCATCCTGTGTAGCACTTGTGTGTGCGGAGCTGTGTGCACAGCAGACTGGGAGTGCCGTGTGAACGAGGACTGTCATTTATCTGTCACAGCACTGTTGCTGACTAAGCGCAGTGCCAGGGACTAGTAGGTGCATATTTGTTGACTGACTGACTGACAGCCCACGCAAATGCACCCGGTTGGGAGGTGGAGAACAGCCGGGAGGGAGCCAGCATTTCTGGGGCCTGGTGCTCTGAGCACTCTGGCGCCCCATGGCGGCCTGCTGGAGGGGAGCAAGGTGGGAGAAGACTGGACAGGTAGGAGAGGTGGCCTTGTGCCTCTGGTGGGGGCAGATGTTCCGGCCTCTGCCCCGCTGCCATCCTTCATGGCTCCTTTTGTGCTTTCAGCTCCTGCAGAGGATTGGGATGGCCCCTGGTGGGCTGAGAACCAGGTCCCAGGTGAGTGAGGGAGATTCTGGGGTTCTGACCCTCGTAGGGGCTGTTCTGCGCCTGTCTCACTCCAGCATCACCCCCGGTGTCTGAACGAGGCAGTGCTCTGTTCTGATGTTTGGGCCCTTCCTGGTCAGGCTCCCATCGACTTTTCCAGCCTTCCACAAGATTCTTGTCCTCAACCCTCCCAGCTCTTTGTAAGGACTATCTGCCTTATCCCTTTAATGACCAATTCAGGCCTGGCCCGCCTTTCTTCACAGAGGTGGGAGCCTATAGGTGAGGAATATTGCATATAATTTCAAGTCTTTTTCAGCATGTTTTTTTTTCCCAGTGTTTTTTGTTGGTTTTTTTTTTTTTTTTTGTTAGGCAGTTGGGGCTAAGTGACACTTGCCCACGGTCAGGCAGCTAGTAAGTGTCAAGTGTTTGGTCTGAGGCTGGATTTGAACTCAGGTCCTCCTGACTTCAGGGCCGGTCCTCTTTTCAGTGTTTTTCTGAACTGACTTTTTTTTTCCCATTTCAAAAATTCTTTGTCAAAAGAGTTGCCTTTAGGGGTTTAGGGGGCTGGTGGGGGTGGGGGGAGGTTGGGATATAATGGGAAATATAAGTGACATAAAAGATAACAATAAAATATTTTTTTAAAAAATGAACTTGAGAATTTGGTCTGGGATTATAGTCATTTTCACTGTCACAAGGAAAATCAGACCATTTGCACTTGTCTCCTCATTCAGCATCTTGACTGTTGTTGGAAGGTGACAGGTATCCCAGGATGAGAATGCACAGGATTCAAAGGAGGAGGGCAGTATGAAGTTAATTGTTTCACCGTAGGGTCAGGATGGCACACGAAGCCAGAGCAGGGGTCCACGGGACTGAGGGAATGAGCGACTAGAGAATAAGCTTAGGAAGAGTGACATACAGGCAGGGACGGCCAGAAAGGAGGGTGATCAGAGACAGATGAAGAGTTCTGGAGCACGGGTGGAGGTAAAGTCCATGTGGGTGATGGTTAGATCAAGTCACTTCCCAGATCCCTGTGTGTGACTGAGGTGGAATGAAGGGACAGGTCCGGGGGGAGGTAAGATGCTGCCCTTTTTGTATACGTCCATCTTACTTGCCTACTTGCTCAAAGGGCAAGAAAAAAGAGTCATGTGAGAAAAGTAGCCTTAGCCTTTGGAGAGAAACCTGCCCTTCTGGTGAACGGACGGAGCTCAAAGGCAGAAGCACCAATGGGGCTTGGCCCTTCGTGGCCCTTCGATCTAAAGGCTGTAGCTGAGAAAACATAAATGAGATGAAGATATCAGGACCGGGGCTGGGGTCAGGAAGTCCTGCACGACCAGTGGGGTTTTGACCGTCCCATCGTGACGCGGAGATGAGTTATGAGCACCCGGAGACCCTGCTTTGAGTGAGGAAGGGCAGTCAGAAGTCAAAAGCCTTGGGTGGGAGGAGATCAGAAGCCGGAGACGACGCCAGAAACCAGGCAGATGCGGAAGACCAGTGCTGTCCCAGGTGCTCAGTGGAGCCGAGAGACAGGCTCTGCCACTGAGGCAGGATCTGTGGGATGGAAGGTAGGGTTCCAGCTGATTAGCAGAGGCAGATATCTCCTGCTGAAGATGGTTGGCCGGGCTTTTGGCCCTTTAGTGCCAGCTGCAGCCTGGAGCGTGGCAACCCCTCAGAGACCAGAACACATATTTGAGGAGCTTTCTGGTTCTCTGGCATAAGGACAATAACACTGCTTCAGGACTGCCGACCCCAGACTCAGGTTGCCGTTTCACTGAAATGGTCTAATGTTGGCCCTCAACTAAAGGAGCTTCATGCAGCCTTAGAGGAGCGAGGGAGCAGCTTTGTGGAGGAAGAGGCCAAGTACGATGGAGGAGCACCAGCATCCGAACCTGAAGCCACTGCCCAGGTTTCCTTTTCCATGTGCCTCCTGGCTAGGGTTCTGCGTGTGCCCACCCTCTACCCCATGGACACCGTGCGCCTTGATGGGGTTTGTGAGTGGACCATTAGGTTTGGATTGTTCATACTTTTGTCTTCTGAGTAAGGTTATTAACCTTGCCTTCTCCTATTAGGCAGATTATTATTCTTGTTTTTGCATTTTTTAATAAATTTTTCACTTTTGAGACTCAGTGGCATCATTGGGATTACTTTGTGTAAATTAGAAACACCCCGGTGGGGGTTCAGGGCAATAGTGACAAGCCTTGGGACCCAGAGGATTCAGCTTTCTGGTGAAACCTGAGACAGGTGGAAGAGCTAGGGTGGGGGGAAGGAGGTTTCCTGAGGGCAGACTTGGGCCACATTATTGCTGGGGTTGGAGAGGGAGTGGTGGGCAGCAGTGGGACGAGCAAGTCTGTGGGCCAGGTCCTGAGCTCTTTGAGACAGAGGAGGACAAATGACCTGGGTTCCTGCGGGTAACTTCTCATGATTTGGGTAGAGTAATCATTGTAGACCAGGGGCTCTTAGCCTTTTTGATGAAGCAGCTAGTTAGGTGAGTCCAAGACTTGAAGACAGGAAGGCCTGAGTTCCAGTCCAGCCTCAGGCACTGGCTCAGGCTCCCTGACTGAGCGGGTTACCTCCCAGAGCTGTGATGTCCAAAACTGCGTTCACAAAGTCCTTTGCAAATTTGAAAACTCTTTTACGTGTTATCGGTTGTTGACTCTGTGTCATGGTTCCCCTTGGCAGTACAAATGAATAAATGAATGATTTGTTAAACACTATGTGCAGAGCACTGGTGATACCAATAGAAAAGTGAGACATTCCCTGCCTTCTAAGGGCTCTCCTTCTAGTAGGGGAGGCAGCACCCAGGGAAGGGCTCAGCTGCAAGTCCGATGAGAAGGTCCCACCTGTGGTCCTCGGGGGCAGCAGCAAAGCTGACGGTCAGGCCTCTTCTTTCATGTTCCTGCCCTGATCAGATCACATGGATTTCTTATGTTGAACCACCTGCAGGGCCCAGGACGTGGTACCAAGAACTCTCCTTTCTAGGTCCCCAGGCTGAGGGTGAGTTTTGTAGACTCTTTTACTGTTTTATAGACTAGTGTTTTTAAATGCATAAAATGTATAATGTTACAAGGGAAACCATTTATATTGAAATAAAGAGATTTTTTTTTCCTGTATAGACCTGCAGTCCATATACTAACTTCCTGGCACATGTTGAGTCCAGGTTAAGAACCCAGGCACTAGTAGGTAGATGCAGTGATTTTCATGGAGAAGGTCCAGAGTTGCAAGAATATGGAAAGAGAGATTCTCTTTGTGTTTGGGTTAGATGAGATGACTGCTGATTTCCCTTCTTATCTCAAATTCTGATTGAGTGTGAAAGGAAAAAGTCTGAGCCAAAGGGTACTCCTTAATGAAAGGGTTTCTGGCTGGCACAATGGAAGAAGAGTGTCGGCGCTGACCAAATCAGGGACTGGAGAGAGGCAGGCGGTTTGCCAGTGTGGTGGGTTGAGCAGGAAAGATTTCCCATCAGATTAATGAGCTTGATGAGGGTGGTGAATATGGGTGGTTTGTTTCAGACTCTTTCTTCCCATGAAGGATGTAGAAATGACCATTCCCTTTATTGAAGGGTTGGGCATCTGCTGCTCTGGGCCACTGCAGTACTGCGTCATTGAGGATGAGGATGTTTTCGAGTCTCGTGCTTGGGGGCCAGTTGATTGACTCACTTTTTTGTGCTACACCCTTAAAAGGGGATGTTAGTTACAGGTCTTTTAGGAACGATCCTGAGTTGAACTCAGACTAGAGATTGACAGAGCTCAGTGGGGCTGGGGTCGTCAGGGGTTAGGGATAGCAAAACATGCCTCTGAGAGCCACCATTGGAGCCTTGGGGCAGAGAGATGATGTGTTCCATTTCTTGGCTTTCTCTGTAGGTAGCCTTGGATAAGGCACCTATTCGTAACTGGCCACCCCTTCTTTCCTTTTTATTTATCTTTAATTCCATTTTTGTTATGAAATGTAACCATCAAAAACATTTTGTGAGTTGAAGAACAAGAAAAAGAAGAGCAGAGGAGTCGTTGGCAGAGGGGCCTCGCCGTGCAGCAGGAAGTAGTGCCCTGCTTGCCCCGGGCAGAGGGAGCTCTTCCCTCTGGACCGCAGACATCGTGGAGGGGTAGTTCTGTGCCGTTTCAGTCTCCCTGCCACTGACCACAACCTCAGTGAAAACAGGCTTCGTTGGATAGCGAGCATGTCCGTGTGTGCCTGGTTGGCACAGTCCAAGCAGTCGTCTTCTTCAGGCTTCTACCTTCCCAGTCAAACACCTTGAAGTCTTGTAAATCTCGGCTGGAACAGAATCAGCACCAGGTGCCTTGCCACAAGAAAGGAGCCTAATGGCATTAAACACCTCTTATTGAGTTGGAATTTCAGGTAGGGAGGGATTGGCTTCGACCTGAGGGAAATGGTCAGTGGCTTCAGCGTTGATTGATGACAGTCTGTCGAGAACACTCTGGAAGTGTGCAGCCCAGCTCTCCAGGATCATGCCCTTGCCTTTCATCAATGCGGCTCCATCAGCGCTGAGCAGTTGAGATGCACCGCAGCTCTCTGGCCCATAAGTGGCCTTCAGGGCCTCATAAAAGCATTTTGGATTGCTACTGAGCCAGGAATCCTGCATCTCTCTAAGCTTTGCTTGCCCTTTACTTTTGATGGAGTTAAATGCTGCCTTCTTAGAGACAGACGAGCTACCCCTGCCAGAAGTCTGGCTTCTCTGCCTTTACTGCTCAGCTAAACCTTCCCTTCAAAGTCATCTGTGGAGTTCTCATTTTTCATTTAGCAGCTTCTGAATTTTCACATCATTTTCCTCAAACCGATGCAGATGTTTGTGAGTGTTCTGGCCCAGATGAGCAAATGCAGTGCTGTACACCAGACCTCTGAGAGCGGCCTGCTCCTTTCCTGCTCCCCTGTTGGCCACTGTGTGCTGGCTCAGCTTTCCCTCCCGGAGCAGTGGGCTTCATGCTCTGTGGGCGTGAAGTCTCCTGGTAGTCCTCTGGCCTTGGGGCCAATGCTTTTGTTGAAGGACAGCTAGGAGAGGGTAGTAAATCTGTGAGCAGTCCGGCGCTCTGCGTTATCTTCTTCACTCTCATGTTCTGTCTGTCTCTTCTCCTGACAATCACATAGTCTGTTAAATGCCAGTGTGCAGCGAGGGGGCGTCCACAAAGTTTTATTGCATTTAGGCAAACAGAAGACAGTGTCAGTGATGAGAAGGTCATGAGATGCAGGAGTCTTCAGTAGTAAGTGACCGCTGCCCTTGCTGTTTCCAACTCCATTCCTCCCGAGGACTCCCTGCCACGTCTGCTCGTCTGAGCCTACTCTGGCATTAAAGTCTCCCAGAATGAGAAGCTTGTCCTCTTTTGGCCCATTGATGATAAAGGTCTCCAGGTCTTCATAAAAATTTTCTTTGACTTCATCAGGGTTCGTCATGGTAGGAGCATGATGATGGTGGCGTGGTGTTTTCCAGCAAGTGGCAATTGCATTGTCAATCCCTCCTTTTGGAAGACATACAACAGAGGTTCCCAAACTTATTTGGTCAACCACCTCCTTTTAAAAAAACATTACTCGATGACCCCTTGGAAATATACTTTCTCTAACCCTTTAACAATCTTTTGAAATTTGCATCATTTAAAAAAAAATGGGGGCTGCTAGGTGGCTCAGTGGATAGAGCACTGGTCCTGAAGTCAGGAGGACCTGAGTTCAAATGTGACCTCAAACAAAACACTTGACACTTACTAGCTGTGTGATCCTGGGCAAGTCACTTAACCCCAATTGCCTTAAAAAAATGTAAAATATTTTTTAAATTAAAATTAAAATTTAATTTAATAATTTATTGTAAATTTGTGTTTTTTTTCCCTGCATTGAAATTTTGATAACGCTATATTGCATCATGTAACCATATAGTATCATTGTAAACCAGTCATTACACGTATTCCTGCTGATGTGTGCTGGACTTCCCAACGATGCCCAGCACACTCATCTGCCAACACTTGCTTGTTAAGATTTGTTGGTGGACTTGGTCACTGATCAATTATAACTTGCATTTTGTGTGTTTATTTGGAAAATAATGTAATCACTATGATTTTAACTCTGTTATACAACAGATGAAACATGTACCAATGATTTTTAAAACTTTTCTTCTCCTTTTTCCTTGTGCTTCCACCTCCCCTGTATTTTTATTCAACGCCCCCAATTGCACCTGAGGCTACTGCTGTCCCTGGATCAGTCAGTGCCCCCCAGGGGGTGGTATCACCCACTTTGGGAACCTGTGACTTACAAGCTTGTAGAGTAGATTCGTTTTGATTGCAAACCCTACACCAGCTTCATGGCGCTTGCCTTCACTGCAGCCACTCCAGAATAATGTGTATCCAGCTCCAGCTTCAGGGAGCTGGCCTTCATTTGCCAGCCTCATTTGGATGGGATCCGTCTTTCAGGCCTACTGGATTTTATGTTGTCTGTAAGTGTGCACACATTACGTGTACTGATGGTGGGCGGAATCATCTTTGCAGAATTTTCTGTACATTTTTTTGTGTTTCAACCACAGAGAGTGATCCCCACCTGCCATGGTAACGAGGCCAGGGTTGGGTAAGCAGACAATTTTTAGGACAGCTTTTCTAGCCCCTTCCTCACCCCAGGAGGTGAACGGTGTGATTTCTACAAGGCTGCCCAGACACCCAGGGGGCTGCCGAATCCAGCTGCTGCTTCTGGTGAGAATGACCCTGTGGCCTGGGCAGCCCATCTGCAGGGTTGTGACTACTGCTCCCAGTGTCTCCTCACCTGCTGCTTTGTCCCTTGCCTGTTGCCGCAGGTCTCTGAGATAGGTAAAATGGTAAAATGGTATGTCCTTTGATTCGTGCATAAGTTGGATTCAAGTGAGGCAGAGGTGCACGAAGTCGTCAGCCTCACTCTCTCCTCCAGAGTCGTCATGGGACAGAGTCAAGATGACTGGTGATGGCCCGAGATGTGGTGGATGACCTTGGCGCCTTTGACGTCTAACCAGGTTCCGAGCACTCACAGCCCCTGCTTCAGCCGCCTTCCTGGCCACTGGAACAAATTGTTCTCATCCTCCCATCCAGTCCATCAGCGGAAGTCTTCGCATGCTTGGGGTAGACGCCCCCCCAATTCACCCACTGGTTTGGGACCCCTCAGTTACCCTCGACCTGGCTTAGCCCATCTGCCAAAATGCTTACCGGGGTGTGACCACGGCACAGGTTACAGCTTCTTGGAGCCACAGGTGAGAATTAGGTGGAATGGGTGGACACCAAGGGTGGAGAGCAGCCTCACACCAGAGGTCCCAGTCTTCCCTGGACATAGCCGACACCCCATCCAGTGCAAGATGAGATAGCTGGGGCATGTCCGAGCTGGGGTCTTAACTCGTCTCTTTGCTGTAAGTCCAGTGCTCTTTGCACCTTCACTGTTACAGCTTAGGAAAATTATTGCTTCTTCACCAGTCACTGATTCCTCAGCCCATTTCAGTCTGGCTTCTCTGCCTTTACTGCTCAGCTAAACCTTCCCTTCAAAGTCATCTGTGACCTGGGAGCGGTCAGATGTCAGCCGTCTTTTTCTAAAATCTTTGCTCTGTTTTCAGCCTCCTCGACTTCTCTGCAGTATTCCTTATTCAGTTCAGTTCAACCAATATTTTTTAGTGCTTACTTTGCAAAAACAGCCTTTTCCTTCCATCCCTACTTCTCTCCTGGGAGTTGGGGACTCCATGTGTTCCCCTGTTCAGGTAGGTCCACCTGGGTGCCAAAGAGGCCACCCCCTTTTCAGGAAGAATTGTGTCTCCTCTGGCTGTTTCTTGTTTTTATTGATGATTTCATTTTTATTGTAAAAGCCGTTTTGGACAGATTTCTGTTATCACAGTGTAATGCCCTGATATTTGTGTATGCTGTAGCAAGAACTCTTGTATTTTTGGATGTTTTAAATAGCAGATGTGATTGCTGAGCCACGGGCCCTAAGGTATGGGGAGTTTTCAGGAATGCATTTCTGAAGACAAAAAAGAAACAGGTTTAGCGAGGAGGAAGGCAGCAAAGGAAGTTGTCTGCAGGGGCAGATGTGGCTGCAAAGGAATGACTGGCAAGCTTAGATTGGAAAGCAGACAGAAGGAAGGCTGATCACAGAGTGCCTTCCCATGTGCCCATTTTATAGATGGAAGCATAGGGAATACATTTTGCAGTCTCCATGTCTCATGGTTCTACAGAGTCTTGAAACCTCAATTCTATTTTTTTGGGGGGCGAGCTGGGCAGTGGAGTTAAGTGACTTGCCCAGGGTCACACAGCTAGTAAGTGTCAAGTGTCTGAGGTTTGAACTCGGGTCCTCCTGACTCCAGGGCCAGTGCTCTATCCACTGTGCCACCGAGCTGCCCCTGCAGCCTCAATTCTATTCCAGGGCACCCGTCTCCAAGACACTCCATGGCCTCCCCTCTGGTATAAAAGTGTTTGATCATTATACATTTGTGAGATGGAGAAGACATTTCAAGCAAGAGTGTTGCTTGTCCAGTATAAATAGTGTGTGTATATGTGTACGTGTGGAGAGAGACAGAGAGAGGCAGCTCGCTTTGTTGTCTGGCTTGCTGAAAATGTATTTCAAAGGAGTGATGGATGATGAAGTGGGATCACCTTGTGTCTCGATCTAAGAGGGATTGTTTGGGGCAGGCTCCAAGTGGAGCGAGTCAGGAGTTTGAGTGACTACCTCCAATGAGGCCGCATATGGCAATGACCTTAGCATGGTGGGTGGCCTTCCTTCAGTGGTCTGGGGCGGTGTTTTCACACAAATAGGAACCAGTCCCTTCCTTTGCATGTTACTTAGAGAACTGCAAATTAATAGGATCCATTTGGCATCGTACTTTTATTTATTTTGTTAAACCTTTCCCAGTTATATTTTAATATGTTCTAGCCTTACTAGGAATCATGAATTTGACACCTCTGACCTAGTGGGGAAAGCGCCGGCCTGGGAATTCCAAGATTTGGACACAAATCTTAGCCCCGGCCCTGTGACCTTGGGCAAGTCACAGTCTCGCCGCAGCCAGCCTTCCCGTAAAATGAGAGGGGTAGGTCCGATGATCCCTAAAGTGTCTTCAAACTCCAAGCCCTCTGTGACCTTGGTCTTTCAGGAGCCTGTGACCTTCAAGGACGTGGCTGTGGACTTCACCCAGGAGGAGTGGGGATGCCTGGGTCCTTCTCAGAAGGAGCTGTACCGGGAGGTCATGTTGGAGAACTATAGGAATCTGTTGTCTCTGGGTAAGGAGAGGGGCTTTCCTCTTCCTGTCCTCATGCCCTGACCTGCTGGCTTCCTCCCCAGCTGCCCGCTGCACAGTGTATCCGGGGTTAGATGCTCACATGGTGACCAGGAGATGGGGCGCTTCCCCTAGAATCGGGGAGCTCCGTGCAGCAGCTCCCAAACCCACCTCACACCTTCTGGTTGCCTCTGGGTCAGGAGGAAAATCACACCCTGAGCATTGTCACTGCCCTCAGCAGCCAGCCAGGCCTACTCAAACCTAAGCAACACCTTGGCTCCTCCATCCAGGGGTCACCTCCCCTTTGCTTGAAGACCGCTGGTGCGGGGCTGTCACGCCCTTTGGGGGGCTCCTCCCCTCGGTTGACCACTCAGTTATTGGGAAGCTTTTCCAGAGGGCAAGCCCACATCTGCCCTTTCGCATTTCTTTGTATCCCTCCCCCATTTTTAGCATGGTGTCTGGCACATTGTATTGTGGGTGATTCATTAATGCTTGTCAACTGACGGATTGCTTCTGGTTCTTGGCCCTGGGACCGAGCAGAGGATTGTTATGGTGCTTGTATGTTCAGTCTTCCACATCCCAGGGCAGCTTCTAGAAGACGGATGTGTTCCCAGCTTTCTGCCAGGAAGATGGATAAAGAACTGTTCTTTCTGTTTGCATGTTGACTCCCCAACTCATATCTCCCCCATGTTCTTGAAGGCTTCCCCACAACACCGTAGAGAACATTCCTCTGGGGGCCTTTGGACCATCACCACAAACAGTCCCTTCCCTTTGAAGAGTGTTGGGAGCGAGAGTCTCTCTGTTCTCAGTCCTTTCCTATCGGTCATGAACAGGGCTTCCGGGTCCCAAGCCTGACTTAGTCTCTGACTTGGAGGAAGGGATAATAGCATGGCTCCTGGAAGGAGGGGAACCAGGAGTCTCCTGTCCAGGTAAGCGAGTGAAGCTGAGCAGATGGGGATGGCTCTCCCCACCTTTCGCTTCCTGGGAATGTTGGACTGCCATTGACATAGCAGGCTCCCCTCACCCTGCCTTGCCCCACCCCAAGCCTGTAGAGGATGGCTGAGGTTCCACAGCCAGAAGCAAACGTGTTTCCAGCCATAATGAAAGGGATAAAGCTCATGTCCAGAGTCTCACCACCTCAGATTTTAAAATACATTAGAAGGCAGTTCTCAGCAAAGCAGTATGGTACTGGGCAAAAAAACAAACAAAAATGGAGAAATAGGTCGATGGGCTGGAATCGACGCAGTGGATGTCCAGTCTCACTTCACACTCAGGATGGCGGCGTCATTGGTGGCATAGCGGCCGGGACCGAGAGGATCCCAAGGACCGGCGCTGAAGGGAGCCTTTGGCTGAAGCTCATCGCCCAGATGAAGATGAAGATGAAGATGAAGTCTTGGGATTGTGTCTGGGTGAGCGGGCAAGAGCTTTTATGTATCGTGCTTTATGCTCCTCTGCATTTAGAGGGCATGCCACTGCAGCACAGTTGCTGAAGGGCATCTGGATACACAGGGGAGTGGGGACCAGCGCAGGAACGTTTGTTTGCTAATCTTTGAGCTGTGGTTGCCTCATCTGATGACTGAAGAGCCTCTCTGAATCCTTGGTCCTGATAGTACCAAAACCTACTTCTGATTTCTGTTTTAGGACTTTCCTTTGGGGAGAGAAAAGCCTGACTCCACTACCCCTAAAAAGGACCCCCCACTCTTGAGAACATCAGTGGTGTGCAATGACACAGCCTTTTAGAACCGGAATGGACCTTGGAGACGTTCTTATTCAGTCTGTTACGGATCAGGAAACTGAGAGGACTCTTAGACAACATCTGCTCCAACCTTCGCATTTAACCCATGAGAAAACTGGCTTAGAGAGATTGCGATATATCCGTGGGTATTAATTTGATTAAAGAACACTTTGGAGCACCTTTCTTCAAAGACAAACAGATAGCATTCATGTCAGTTATGTGTTTTATTTGTTTTGCCAATTCCCAATCTTTGTAAATCTCTACCTTCTCATTGGTATCATACTACCTCATTGCAAGACACTTGTGGGAGAAAATCGTTATTCTTTTCCTAGTGCTTACATGCTCATTGACTGACTCACTGTCCTGATTGAGTTTGTCAGCAATAATTGCGCTTCTGCATGAAGTCACTGTCCACTGTCCACCACCAACCTTCCATCCTCTCAAAACTCAGCTATGCCCATTTTTATAATAAAAATCATTGGTGTTTGCCATACTCTTCCCCTAGCCTACATAGAGGAAAGGGGAACATCCTCAGTTTTTCCGGTGATATATCAGGCTAGATTCTCACCTGAGAGGGTAAGGGAAGAGAGTGCCATGGGAGACTTAAGGAGGGCTGAAAAGGTTTGCAAAGGCCTCTGGGATGGGTGGGATATTGACCTGATGAGGGAGTTGTAGATGAATTACCTTGCTGAAGCGAGGGACCAGTTAACAAATAAATATGTAAATATGGACCCAGCCAGTCCAGTTTCATGATTTTCTGCAGTCTCATGTGAACAAGAGTAAAAGTGGTAGATGGTAGGAATAATCCAAGATTGGGGTGGTATTAGGTGTAGTGATTTGGGGCTGATATTCATTCATATTATCCCTCGTAATAATGTCTGAAAGATTACATGGTGTTATGGAAGGGTAACTCAAACTATGATTTTTAGTCCCAACTCTGTCCTTAAGTCACTGAGGTACTCTGAGCCTCAGTTTCCTCTTCTGTAAAGTGCAATCATCGTACTTGTTCTGTCTCTGTTGTAGTCTTGTTGAAAGATGATACTGCGGTCCAGAGGAATTAAGTTAATTTGTCCTTGGTCCCACATGTGACACAACGGTAAATTCAGGCAGTATAATATGTGTGTGTAAAAGCCATTTGTAAAGCAAGTCATTCTGTGCAGATGAGCCAATGGCATTTTCTCATTATTAAATCTCTTGCCTCTGATACTAGCTGTGGCCCTAGATAAGTCACTTAACTTCTGTTTGCCACAGTTTGCTCCTCTGTAAAATGAGGGAGCCAGCTCAAAGCCAAGAAGCTCTGAGTTCAAGTCCTGCCTCTGACATAGACGGGCTCTGTGACCCTGAATCACTCACTTAACTTCTCAGTGCTCTAGGCAGCTCTCTAAGACTTTGAGTTGTAGTCATTGGTGGCTGGCCTATGTTTATGAAATCACCAGTCTAGTCCTTGGCCTTTCCTACTCAGTGCCAGGCACTGTGCTAGGGACTGCGGTTGCAAAGAAAAAAAATAATAATCCCTGCCCGCAAGGAGCTTACATTCAAACAGGAATATGCATGGAGATGAATAAGTTTATATAAAATAAATACAGAGTAAATGTTTTCAGGGAAGAGGATTTGTAGCCAGGCAGTGGGCCAGGGTTTCTGGAAAGGTCTCCTACAAAAGGTTTTGCTTAAATAGAGTTTTGAACAAAACAGAACATATTCTAAGAGAGGGAGGCGAGGCTGCAGCACATTCCCGGCTGGGGGTTAGCCATTGCAGAAGCATGGAGGTGGAGGTAGGGGTTTATATGGCAAGGGAATAAAATGGCCAGATCTAGCATTAGAGAACAATTTTCTGCAGGGAGAGGAAAGAAGATCGTTTTATATTTTGTTTATTTCTTTCAGACTTGGAAACCAAGGCATCACCTCTAAAGCTGGGTATTTCCTTGGAAGAATCATCCCAGGAAAGAGTCACCAAGAGTTCCTGGTCCTTCAGGTTGGGAGACGCCTGGAAATGTGACGTCAAGTTCATGAAGACGAGCAGCCAGGGGAGACCCTCCCATCAGTTAACAGTTCTCCCCAGGAAAACTCACAGTGAAGGGAGAGGCCGCCAAGACCGTTGGACTAGTAGTTGCCGCAGCCGGAAGTCAGTTCTTTCTCTCCAGGAGAGAGTTACTGTAAGAAAGGGTCCCCGTGAATGTCATCCCCATGGAAAGAGCTTCAAACAGTGTTCCCACCTAATTCAACATAGGGGAACCTTGGCAGGAAAGGGACATTGCGAACATTGTGAAAGTGAAGAAGGCTTCAGTGACCGATCCGACCTTATTCAGTGTCATCGTAGACATGCCGAAAAGAAAAGATCTGCATGTAATCAATGGGAAAAGGCCTTCAGCTCCAGGGCAGACCACATTAGACGTCGAGAATGTCTTCCTCCAGAGAAAGCTTATAAATATAAAGAGAGTAAGAAGGCCTTCAGTCAGAAATCGGGGCACATTTATTCCCAGCCTGTTCAAACTGAAGACAAATCTTATGAATGTAATGAATGCAAGAAATCTTGTATGCGTTGCTCATCCCTTACTTACCAACAGAGATTTCATACTTTCAAGAAAGATTCTGGGTGTAATAAACGTGGTAAGGCTTTCAGCCAGAGCTCCTCCTTTGGCGTCCATGAAAGGCTTCATGCTAGAGACAGCCCCCGCAAGTACATAGAGTGTGGCAAAGCCTTCAGTGAACATTCATCCCTTATCTGCCATCAGCAGATTCCTCCTGAAGAGAAGGCTTGTGAACGTAATCAGTGGAGCCTCCCCTTCGGCTGGAGTAGAGACCTCAGTAGACACCAGAACACTCAGACTGGAGAAAAGCCTTGTAAGTGTGATGAATGTGGGAAGGCCTTCACTCGGAGCTCATCCCTTACTGTCCACCAGCGCATTCATTTAGGAGAGAAATCTTACAAATGTAATGAATGTGGAAAGGCCTTCAGCCGAGGAAGAGATCTTATTAGACATCAGAAAATTCATACCGGAGAGAAGCCTTATAAATGTAGTAAATGTGGGAAGGCTTTTAGGCAGAGTGCAAATCTCACTGCGCATAAACGAATTCATACAGGAGAAAAACCTCATGAATGTCCTGAATGCGGGAAGTGCTTCACCTAGCACTCATCCCTTATTTATCATCAAAGGATTCATACTGGAGAAAAGCCTTATAAATGTCATGACTGTGGGAAGGTCTTCAGGCAGACTGCAACCCTAACTGTGCACAAACGAATTCATACAGGAGAAAGACCTCATGAATGTCATGAATGTGGGAAAGCTTTCACCCAACACTCATCTCTTATTTATCATCAGAGAACTCATACTGGAGAGAAATCTTTTGAATGTATGGCATGTGGGAAGGCCTTCAGCCGGCGGTCATCCCTTACTGTCCATCAAAGAAGCCATAGTGGAGAGAAACTTTATGAATGTAACTGATAGAGGAGGATCTACTTCTGGAACACACCACTTATTAGCTGAAAAATGAGCTGAAGAAGTCATAAATATCATGAATTCACAATTCCCCCATTGTTTATTAACTGCCTACTATGTGCAAAGAAAGCACTGTGGTCCATCATGGGACTACAAAGATGACGATGAAGTAGTCCCTGCCTGCTTAGGAGAGCTTACTTTCTACTGGTAATGAATATGGGCAGAATACAAACCTTGCATTGCATCACAGAATTCAGTGCTGAGAGAAACCTCATAAATCTAATGAATGTGGGAAAACTTTTGTGATACATCATCCCTCTTTTAGTTATCAAAAATACATGCTGGAGAAATACCTTAAGAATGGAATCAATGATATGGGGAGGATTTACCAGTGGTTGCCCAGGTGGGCAGTGCCACCCCTGGGCAGGACTGGAACAATCCAAGGGGGCAGGAGTAGCCTTGAGTACAATTGTACACTTAATCTGAGACTGCT